ACTGAGCGTGCACCTTCCTATCACTCCGGCCGGCCACCGCGGACAGCAGAGCAGCTCGGCCACGCTACACGGGAGGGGAGGTGAGAACCAACTGCAGCCTCCTGACCGCTCTTGACAGAGCGCTCAGGCGGCTGCAGTATTTAAAGGGCTGGCGTATAACACGCACCCATAATTTTCCCCCTATTTTCAGGGAGAAAAAGTGCGTGTTATATGCCGATAAATACGGTATTTTTACGGGGGGGGGAGGGGGGATGGGGTACGCTATGTCAAAGGGTTCCACGGGAAAAATTAATTGGGAACCCCTTCTCTAGGATGTATTTTGAAATTGCAAACAACCCTACGGGAGAACAGGAACAGGAAGTAAACTTTAATCCAGAGGTAGCCAACAAATAGCTCTACAAAATCAAGAACCCTTTAAACAAAAAAGTGGGAAAAGCCTTTAAATACTTAAGCCACTTGGAGGCGGGGCCTGGTGGCCATGTTAGCCAGAAGAGTCCAGGGTGAGCTCCGGCACTTAGGCTGCAAAATCGCCATAAATCTGCAGTTTAAACCCCCACTGAAAACTCTACCTGCCTCCAAGGTAATCCTGAATCAAGTGGGGATGTACCTGAGCGTGTTTGATGCCCCTTGGTGCCCACGCAAATGGAGAGCCGAAAGCTGGCTGGCGGTCTGCTGCGCCTGGGGGGTGGAGAAGCGGCCGATCTCTGCTCCTTCCCGTGCGGCTGTCTGGTGCCCTGTTCCCCCTGTGATCCTGGTCCAACCATGGAGGCTTCCTGTTGAACTAAGGGGTTTGCAGCATTATCGCAAGCACTATTACGCTAACAAAATAGCGGATGCCGCGTGCTCCCCCAACCCCTGCACGGAAACATTTGCTATTCCATAATCACTACATGGACCATTAAAGTCCTTAGGTACAGACAAGGAAGCTCTGATAGCACCCGCGGTGCCGTGAACCAAGCCAACCTGCTTATCTGAGGGGCTACAGTATCCAGTCATGTGGCACGCAGTATCATTCCAATAACCATTCAATTGTAAGCTCTTATTTTTGTATATGTATTAACCAATATGCCTATTCCATTGGTGACTTCTGCCTTTTGATAAATTACCCCCATTTGTATTAAAATGTTAGTAGGAAAGAATCAAGGTGTATCTAATTGCAATTGTTGTATCAAATCTATTTTATGCTTTTTTTACATTAAAATAAAAAGTATTAACATATCATAACTTCTTCAAAGTTCACACAAGTAATTTTGTTTTTCTTTTTAGCAAGATGGCTGGAATAGAGGCCCCAAGTGCATGGAAGGGGAAATTAAACTTAATGTACAGAGTAGGACCAGGCTTTGAATCGCCATTTGAAGAAAGGTATGGAATAGAAAATGAAATATTTAACAGTTATGGACAGTTATTACTGCATAGCTCTGTTATGGATAACTAGAGATTAATAGTGACTTGCATCTGATTATTACTGCCACCCCACGTCAAGGTTGGTACATGTGTGAAGGAATACCAGCACATTGCCACTCAGGAAAGCTCTTATCCCAGATTTGTAAAAAAGAATGTTGGTGGGTAGAATAGAGGTAAGAAAGAATGTATACAAATGTTTCCTAAAAATGCAAGTTACTTACAGCAACTTTTCTATAAGATCATTTTGTAATAAAAACAGTGCAGGGTACTTTGAGTACAGGTAAACTTTGTTTTAACAACTAAAACAGTTATATTGTGGATTTTGGGGCTTCCAAAAAAAACGCTATGGGACAGGGGAGGGTGGGGGGTGGGAGAAAAAAAAACACGCTATGGGAAAGGGGAGGGGGGAGGAAAGAACGCTATGGGACAATGGAGGGGGGAGGAAAGAACGGACAGGGGAGGAGGGAGGAAAGAACGCTATGGGACAGGGAGGAGAGAGGAAAGAACACTATGGGACAGGAGAGGGGGGAAGAGAAGAACGCTATGGAACGGGAGGGGAGGAAAGAACGCTATGGAACGGGAGGGGAGGAAAGAACACTAAGGGGACAGGGGAGGGGGGTAGAGGAAAGAACACTATGTGACAGGGGAGAGGAGAACACACTATGTGACAGGGGAGAGGAGAACACGCTATGGGACAGGGGAGAGGAGAACACGCTATGGGACAGGGGAGAGGAGAACACACTATGTGACAGGGGAGGGGAAAGGAAGGGAAGAAATTATGGGGGAGAACACTATGGGACAGGGAAGGGGGAGAAAGAACACAAGCGGGAAGAGAGAGGAATATTAAAGGAGGGGACTAAGGTACAGGAAAGGGAAAAGGAACACTGGGGTGGAGGGGGAGCACAAAAAGATAAGGGAGAGGAACATTAAGGGGAATGGGGGGGGAGGGTGGGGGAGTTCCTATCGCACATATTTACACACAAACACACTGCATCCACTACACAAACATACTGCATCCACTACCCACACTGCATCCACTACACAAACACATTGCATCCACTACACAAACACTGCATTTACTAATTAAATACGCTCACTGCATCCACTAAACACACACATAAAAAAATCTGACTGGCATGTATATTTTGTGCATTTACCACTTAATAAAAAAAAAAAAGATTTGCAAAACAATTTGTTTTTCTCAAAATGGTAAATGTACAGAATATTGGTAAACTATTGGCCATCGGCCTGAAAGTTCACAGATTATCAGTATCGGTTCTAAAAAAATCAATATCTGTCAATCCCTACCCTACTCTATACTACAATCTTACTGCTTGATTCTCTGTCATTTAATAGTTAAATCACTTTGTTTATGCAGCCCTAGGCACACCTCCCTGCATGTGACTTGCATAGCCTGTCTAAACACTTCCTGAAAACAAAAAGATCTTCTAGGTTCTTTATTGCACAGTCTATTTAATCTAGAATTTCTTATATCCTGCTCTGTTAATACCCGTATAGAACCTGCAGGGGCCTCCTGTGTATAGTTCAAGTTCAATTTACAGAGCAGGAGCTAAAAAAAAACAACAACAAAAACTTCTAAAGCAAGTTAATGTCTGATTGAAAATAAAACTTATTAAGCAGGCTGTCACAGACAGGGGAGGTGTGGCTAGACCTGCATAAACACAAAAAAAAATATTTAACTCCTAAATTGCATGGCATGGGAGAAAAGGTGAGTAAAAACACCTTTATACTGCGATCAGAGGGGAACCAGACACCTAAACAGCCATTTCAGAACTAAAGTGTCGTTAATAATTGTGTTTTCCTTTAAGGACTGCATTCTACATTAGACAGCCTGAAGTTACTGTGTATGTGGTACACTTTGAGGCACACTGATAGAAAATCAATGCTTTGTAGTAGGATTACAGTCAAAATGTCAAATTATGGGGCCAGATCCGAGTCAGCTCGAGGCAATAGCTTTTTGAGCTCCTTATGAAATTTTATGGCTTAGTTTTTCTGGTGATTGAATAGGTAGAACGTCCACTGGAAACGATAGAAGAAAGAAAAATAAAAAAAGACCATGGCACGAAACCAAAAGGTAAATGTAACTTTTTCATGGTTTACTCTGATCTTTCTACACACCCTGTCAGAGAGCAATGTTCAAGGCTCTGGTAATACATGTTAGCAATTCAATTACAAAATGTGTTAATGAATAATAAGCATTTATACAATGTCCCTCACTCTCTCCTGGGAAACGTTATAGCGCTACACATTTGTATGTTATGGTATAAAGCTATCTGAGAAGAACATTCACACTTTGTAAGCAGCAGAATGTTCTTTGGGGTAAAAAAACTGAACTAGAAACTGGATCACGGTAGTAATCCTTCCAGAGATGGACTGACAGCCATTTGGGCCCCCAGGCAAAATTAGGTTCTCGGCCCTTTGAAGGCCAATATATATGCATTAGAGAAATATTAAATATAAGTTTCATATAATGTTGGGTATTACTTTTGTTGCCTATGGTGTGGTTTATGAATGCAGGTGAATGATAATTTTGTGTAATGCTGATATGTGTGAAACCCAAGAAATATTTTGTGTACTGCCAGTGAAAATAAAATGCAGTTTTTTTGCATGCAGTGTACATGTATGAAGGGCAGGCAGCGTTCTATTATAATGTGGAACAGATCTGTGTGAAGGCAGAGATTTATTTATTGGGGTTAAATGCAGGAGTGTATTATTATGGAATTTTGGTGTGTGAATACAGGAGTATATTTGTTTAAAGCATCAGTGTGTGTAGGAGTGTATTTGTGTGCAGTGATTGCGTCTATGTAAAGGAATGGATATAAAATGCATTTGTGTGGAAGAAGCTGTATGAAGGTGACTGCTGGTGTGTGAATGTTTGTCTGTATTACAGTGGACAGTCTGTGTATGGATGTAGGGATAAAGTGTTTGTGTTCAATTTGAGCAATGTTCGTGTGTGTGAATGTAGTAGTCTATTTGTGAGGAGTGTCAGTATGTTTGTGAACCACCGCAGGGCCCGCCAGATATACACACATACAATTATACAGTGGTGTATTTTGGATTTGTGCTGCCCTCGGGGAACCCCCCCCCCCATATTTTAATTTTCCCCACCCCTTCCTGTCAAGGCCGCACTTTGACTGACAGACACTTTCATACTGATGCATTCACTGACATACACTCACTAAAAGATAGTCATTGGCACACATACTGTTTAACCAACACACACTT